CAATTCTGTCTCTGACATCGTCCAAGCATACCTGCCAATGCAATGCACGCTAAAACTTGACCCACGAGCCAGTGCCGCTTGTGGGTCACAGTGCGTCTGATACTCTGCCGCCGCTCCGACATAGTAAACCGAATGGAATGTGCAAGTGGCTGGACTTTGACCCGCGTCATGGAACTATGCTGAACAGGAAAACAGACAGCGACTTGTATCTTGCATGCAGAGAAGCAAACAGCTTCTTGAACCTCCACGGCAAAGCAGCAACATGCAGTTGGTATCAGTGAGCCGAGCAGAGAAGGGGTATGTTCTTGTGCACACGATATGGCAACATCTGCAGCATCAATGACGAACAGGCTGAGGGCCACACCCGATGTCAGCGGGTCGGTTTGTGGTGAGGATGCGGATGTCGTCCCCAAGAAGGGCCCAAAAAGTCAAGCACACTGAAATCAAAGTCATGTAGGGACCATCCATCTGGCAAGGAATTTCAAAATTCAATCAGCAAGCATGACAGTCTTTCCTGAAGTGTTGCAAAACTCTAAATCTCGATGGGATGGCAAAGTTGGCAACCGCTCGTCGGAATCGAGCCTGACGAGATCGAGAAGCAGAAATAATACCCTCACCATGACGTGTCGGGGTGCACCTTTTGCTTCTTCTCTTCAGCCTCCTGCCTTCTTTTGGCCTTCTCTTCCTCAGGTGCATGTCGCACAATGAAGATTTACATCTGAGGACTGTAACTTCCCAATTCCTCAGGCTTGCACCAAGGTTTTGCGGAGCAATTCCATGTTCACGTCGGTTGATATTCGCCGCCTTCGGAGGAGGAGGAGGAGGAGGAGTTTGAGTCGCAGCATGCAGATCTGAACAAACCACTGTTTGCTGTAAGCGCATAGTCTGTTGTTTGGATGATCCGCACAGGGGCCAAACGAGACCTGGATTACTTCACGCGGCGAGTGTAGCATGATGTTTGGAGCGGGTCAGGGAACGGTGTGCAAAGTTGTGGACTTGCAATAGTTGTAGCTCAGTATTGGCGCGAGACCTACGCACCTCTGAGTTGGTTCAATAGACTACTGCTCAAGTCGCCGTGTACACGGTTGAGATCAAGTCTGAACCACCCAGCGTGGATGATGACACCTGATTCTCGTTAGGAACCGAGTTGCAAGGGCATTAGGGACATATGAGCAATGAGTTCCAAGATATTGTGACATGATGTGACATGCATGTCACCTAACACAAGCATCAGTATTTATGAGAAGCTCCGTGTAATCCTGTCCGCTCGACCCACGGCAAAAAGATGAAGCAGAATCTCAACGTCAGCTGGGAGACGAGATGCACTTGGGTAGGTGCTCTTGAGATGGATGGCTAATGACTCCTTTAGATTTAGACTTGATGCTTTGGTCAACTTCCGAGTCACGGGTTGTTGTGGAGTGTCTTTCCGAGGTGCCTCGACATGTTTGCCGGCGGTGGTCCTTAGCCGATACAAGCTCCAAATCATCTGAGGAGCTGTTCGACTTCTGCACCACTAGGCGACGGGTGTGCACGCGCAGGAGCTCAGCTCATCCGAGCGCCCAGCCCACTTCCTCGGCTTCAGACTTCCTGGAGCATTGGCGTGCGTGTAGACACTTCGGTGCGGTCCGGTGTGGAAGGAAAGCAAAAGAAAACCTTTCCCTTGTTTAACCCCTTACTCCGCAGACTCGCCCCGGCCCCAGCACACAAGCACTTCAAACAGCTCTAAATTTGCGAATCGACCAAAAGAAACCTTCAAAGACAATGCTCAAATGCTCAAAATCCTTAACGTGAACACCCTCTCCAGGGCAGCAAGACAGCACATGACTGCACGGCGGCACCCGAAGTCATCGACATCGGAGCTCGAGGAAGACGAGGAATCTTGATGCTCCTCCTACGCACGAGTCAACGAAGACCAAAGGATCTTCCAAGTCGGCACATATGCACCGTGCTCACCGAACGCAAACCAAACAAGACCCTTAGAATTGGAAATGTCACTGGGAAAATGCAAGTTTCTGCAGATTGCCTCATTCAGTGCAAACAGGAAGCCGATTGTCCTCATCGGTGTCTTTTGCTGCAGATTCCTCCTGATCAAACAACTCAGATGTCGCGGCTTGTTGTAGATGAGTGTTGGATCGCAGGCAGTCCTTCTGTCCGACCATCTCAATTCCAACACGCCCTGTTGAGCTTTGTTCTGCCTCCGGTGTTCTGGCCTGCTGCTATTGCGACATTGTGTGAAAATCTAGATGGGGGATGACTCGGCGCATGTGGCACCACAAGGCGGCATGTCCATCTGTGCTCTTACGCTGTCATGAGACCGCCAAACTCTGGGCTGCAAGCCGCGGCAGAAAACTTGCAACAGTTGCAACAAAGCTAATGGTCCGCTTTCTTTGAGGGTGGGGGTCCAGGTGAACAGTGCTCATCAGTGCTCGAGTTGATGGGTTTGCCGCATCGATTACGACGCAGCATTTTAGATAGTTGTTGCAACAGCTCAACTATCAATTGGGTTGGGGCAGATCGCGCTCACGAGCTCAATGTTTCATGCGAATAGAACTGCTGCATCAGTGTCAAAAAGAGCGCAGCCGCGAAGGTCACTGCATCACCGTAGCTGCCGTAGGTGGGTTGGACTAGTTCAGAAGATTCCAAAACAAATGCAGAGTTGTTATAAACAGCTGTTGAATTGCTCAGCTTCACAGCTCTAGAAAAGCAGAACGAGTTGCCACATCACTGACACATGGACTTTTTTGGCAGTAGCGCAGCGGTAGAGGCGACGACTGCAATGAAGGCAGCCACAACGAGCCGCTGCAGCCGAAAACACGCTGTTGCCAGACTTGCTCCGAAGGAGCCTGCATGCATTGTGCATGTTAGCTAGCTTCGCTAGCATGAAATGCATTTTAATTCGAAGCTGTAGCACGGCCAGAAACACGAGTGAAGACTTGTAAGAGAAACGGCTAGCGTTCGACCACGGCTACAGTGCGGTTCCTGCTCTATTTCATGAACCACTCTCAGTGCAGGTGATCATCGCAGTGTATCTGCAAAGCCTAGCCTTTCAACTGGCAGTAGCAGCTGTCGAACACGGTGCACTGGAGCAAACCGAGGCTGCCTTCGTGGATCTTTGGGAGCACTGGGCGACCTAGATTCAGCCGTCAAGTTTGCTGAGTCGCTGAACTCTAGTTGTACAAGCTGGCTCGGCTAGGGTTGCCGTTCAAACAGCACCTGCGATTGTGACTGCAGCAACTGCTTCTACCTCTGACCACTGCCACTACCACCACCACCACCACCACGACCACTACCAGTACCACTACTACTCTACTACTTACTGCTACTACTACTACGACGACAACAACTACAACTACAACTACGACTACAACTACAACAACAACAAGTACTACTACTACTACTACTACTACTACTACTACTACTACTACTAGTTACTACTGCTACTGATACTGCTGATACTATTGATACGAATACTACCACTGCCACACTACTACTACTACTACTACTACTACTACTACTACTACTACTACTACTACTACTGCTCAATACTGCTTGTGAAGCACCGCAAACCGGTCTTGCAAAAGAGCAAACACGGAGCGGCAGCTGTCTTTTGCTTCGCGAGTCCACTCGCACGCTCACAGTCCCTAAGCTTGCAAAAAGCGCAAGCCGTCGCGAGTAGCAACTCCGCGTGGCGCGAAGCTACTTTAACTCACTACAGCCGTGCACACTTGGCACTGCTTAGAAGCAAAGCACTTGAGCCAAAAACATTTGTTTGGCATAAAACTTCAAATTAGACACAACATGCAACAAAGCTACAAAGCAGCCTGCAGAGACATGTGCACTGATACACGTATGTGCACTCACACCAGTGCCAGGAGGGGTGGGCCGCGTCGCAGGCGGTAGGGCGCAGCCCTGACAACGACGACCGCACGACGCACGAACCCACTAGCCGACCCTCCTAAACCAGACCCTGAGCTGCAAGCTCGCGCGGGCCAAACTTTTGATGCTGGAGTTGAGGCTCCGGAGAGCGTCTCTGCAGTCAAGCTGCTACTGTACAACTAAGGTACACTAAGCTACGGCTACGGCTACCTACCGCTCAGAAGCTACGTGGCACAGACCTGCCAGCTAAAGCCCCTGTGGGCAGGCGGCCGCGCCCGAACAAGGGCCGCGAGCTGCGCGCACCTACGGCGCGTGGCTGCGACCGAACAAGGTCTGCACGCCAGCTTCTGCAAGGGACGGCACGGCTGTGCCGAACACGAGCGCCAGCTGGCGCGACACAAAAGTGTCCAGCGACCCAGGAAGGGCCGACTATTAGCCACGGCGGCCTGACTCAGCAGGCGGGCCGCGACCAATTAAGGTCCGCGTGCCGGCCGCACGGGGTGACAGCACGGGAGTGACGCACACAAGTGCCAGCAGGCACGAGGGGCAGATGGGCCTAGCCATCCGCAGGCTTTAAGACGGCGGGCGTCCAGCAGAGACGCCGCGCAGGAAACTGCCGCAGGCTCCCAGAGGAAACGGCTTCAGCAAAACCGCTGGGAAACCTGCCCGCAAATTGATGCCGAGCTG